TGACCTCTGAAAGAGCAACCAATGCTCTTAACCTCTGAGCCATCTCTCCAGCCCCTGTAACATGGATTCTTACCCCCTCCTCCTAAGCCTACAAGGAGAGACCCATACTTTATCACATGCTCGCTTCAAGAGCGCTTCCCTTGCCATCTTTCTGAGGTATGACAAGTTAATTTATCCCAAAGAACAATCAGCCTCAGTGTTCTTCCTGTACCACTTCTAGAGTTGTTCTTCTCATCTCACTCCTTACAGGGTTTCCAGCTGCTTATCTGTCCAATTTAATCAGTCACACATTTAGAAAAAGATAAGGGGCTACTGAAAAATTCTGAGGACTATTTAATATGTATGTGTTTTGTTTCCTTATAGAGTTGATTAAAGGCAGGGCCTTCGGCTTGCAAAACACAGTCATCTACCTCATTCTGAGTCATAATGATTCATTCAGGGCCTACATTAACATTTGTTTCTACTTTTGTAGGTGAACTCCAAATTAGAACCCCAGCATTTAGGGGCTGGAGAAATAGCTCAGTGGTTAAGAGCACTGGTTGCTCTAGCAGAGGCACCCATTTCAACTCCCAGAACTCACACAGTAGCTCACAATCATATTTAACTGCAGTAGCAAAGCAAGCTAATGTATTTTCTGGAATTAAAAAAAAAAAATTAAAGAATCCCACCATTTGGTAGGAGGAAGCTGCAGTGTGTCTGATGCTAACCTGAGCTTCACGCCACTCTTGGCTATGTAATAAGACAGTATTTATAAAAGGAACTATTTTAATAAAACTTTTTATAAGACACATGATTGTAACAGGACAGCTTGCTTTTCCGGGCATTTGATCTCAAGGAAGGGCCTGTGTCTCACCTGCCAGGGTGAATTTCCTAAGAATCCCATAAGGACAGAGATCAGAGATTGCATGAACCCTTGGCCTGTCCAGGCCTGATCCCTGCCATCCAAGGGCTGAAGAAGTCTTAGTTCTTTACCCTCCTTTCAGGTCCCATTCCTTTCCTTCCCTACCTCCATCTAGGGTTGCTGCCCTGGGTCAGCAAGCACATGAAAGCAGACAGCCATTGGCAGCTGCTGCCTCAGGGATGCTCCAATCACCCTTGTTCTCATGCAGTAGCCCTGGTTTCCTGCCTTCCACCCCTGCCTGCCAGGGGTTCATCAGCTTAGTCCCACCCCAAAGTATATAAGCAGGTGATATTTCTATATTTATAGCAGTGCTGAAAATCCTTGAGTTTTACACAGAAAACCACCTTCTCCAATCCCCATCCCTTCCTCACTCCAACAAAAAATTTTCAATCCTTTGTGGTTCCTGGGGCAGCAGTATTGGCTCAAGTATTGTGTCTGCTGAAGTAAAGATTCCAACAAGCAGGTACTGGGGGAATACACTTAGAAAATAATTTCAAAAAGATTTATGAAATTATTTAGAATGTGTGTGGTTTGCTGACCTTGTTATAGATGCCATGTTACCAATGATTGCCTGTGGTGAGGGCCTGGCATTGTTTACTCTTTGTTTAGCAACTTCTGGCCTAGGCATGACAGTGGGCACTTTCCCCTAGCACTGTGGGCTCAGCACCTGTGTTCTGTGTTAGACAGGTTTTCTAGCTGGGTGTAGTGGTGTACACCTTTGAACCCAGCACTTGGGAGTACAGAGGCAGGCAGCTCTCTGTGAGTTTGAGTCTAGCCTGTCTACAAATTGACTTCCAGGACAGCCAGGGTGTAACACAGAGAAACACTGTCTCAAAAGAAAAAATAAAGAAAAGAGATATATGATATATATTTATATGTATACCATAAAATAATGTACACATCTTACCTTTTTTCCATTTACATATGTGGGAAAACGCTAACATGTAGAAAAAAAGGTTCTTAAAGCTTAAATGTATGTTTTTTCCATCCCATTAGACTCATATTGGTTTGTATCATCTAACATTAACAAGTATGCTGTATTATGTATGTGTATACTGACTGAAATCTGTTAGATTTGGACTTTTAAAAATGAAAGCTGCTAGTTTGGCTTGACCAAGTAGTGTAATCATTATTACTGATTTTAGACGGATATTCACTAAAAGGTGTATGATACAAAAAAAAAAAAAAGACATAAAAAAAATCAAAGAATTTACAGCCCCTCTAGGTGAGCAGTTTTGGGAAGCCTCCAACTGTGGTACGGCTTGTTTGATGTTCTTTGAAACCATGTCTTGCTGTGTAATTTTTACTGGCTGCCAACATTCTCCAGTCTCAGCATGCCAGGTGCTATATGATTCCTGAGTGAGTCATCAAGCCAAGCTGAGGTTGGTTAGAACGAAGGGAGATTTCTGTGTGTGGATGGGAACCTTCATTGCCTTAATCGTAGAAGAATGAAGTACTGGCACCTTGGAGATGCTGAGTACAGTCCCCTCACCCCTGTTAACACTTATGTTTAGACTCTCCCAGGCTTCTTCCCTCCCTAGGGAAAATCCTCCTATAACAGCAGCTGTTTTTGGATAATGCAGCCCTACCACTTGCTGGCTCACTGTTCCGACTAGGTTATATCCCCCTTACACCCACTTGATGCTGTCTGCAGTTTATAAGACTTTCAAAATCCTGGGGGGGGGGCTAATATTTCTTAAATCAATCATTAGCCTGTTACAGGGGTACATATCCATTTCTTCCATCAAATCAACTTTATTTGAGCATCTACAATTCTGCCTCTGAAAAATGGGCACAAACTACTGCTGGTGATTGGATCAATGTGGTCACTAACCAAAGACAATGACTTGTATTTTATGGTGTTACCCTGGGTTACAGGAAAAGCCGAGGAAAGGCATGAAACAGATTTCTTAAAACATACAAACTTTTATTAAACAAACTTGGAGTCAATAGTATTATTTTATAAGTTAGACAGCAGAAAATTTTTTCCTGGGGCAAATGTATATAGAGATATAGATATATACACATATCACAGTGATTTTTTTTTAATAATGCAACAGGATTAGAAAGTAAGAAAAAACAAACAGGCTTTTTCATTACACACGATTATTTAAGGTGAGCTGACAGGTGCTTGGCAGCAGGGGGTGCAACCTGCACTATCACGTGGTGTGTTCCCAAACTCTGAGAAGTACTGAAGGAGGTCGCCAAGGGGAGCTGGGTCTCACCTGTGAGGGTCAGGAGGGCTGAAGAGGCTCCTGCTCACTTCCCATAAGTCAGACAAGTAATGATGTCTATTACATAATCAACTGGAGCAAGCCCTCACCCCCCTCCCCGCCCCGAGCTCTATGACAGTGTTTGGTTGGATGCAAGGCTGTGAGGTTTTCAAGACAGATTTGATGGGAACATGTAATGGTTGCAGGAAGAACTGCCCACACAAACTGATGGGACACACACACACACACACACACACAACCTGACTGCAAAGGGGGGACCCAGATACACATACTCTGATGGGGACCCCCCCTCACAAGCTGATGGGGGAACCCCACACACAAATAAACCTTGACTTTGCAGCATCATTTTCAGGTGGTTTGCAGTGTGTGTGAGAAATAAGAAAGACAGGTGTCAGACGTTCATGAAGTGCTTCCTATGGAGTTTCATCAAAAATAACAATAATAACAAAAAGAAACAAATAATCCCAGGAAATCAACATGTTGCAAATCTATAGCCAGGAGTGACAGACCCTGTCTGCAGTTTTTCACCCTAACATCAATGCTGAATCTTGCCTATGGTTTACCAAACAACAGGGTGGTGACTGATATGTTTTGGTCCGATACTGAGATATTTGCAGAGCCTGAGGGTCCTGTGAACAGTATTTAGCCATGAAATCACACTTTACAGTTTAACATGTAACAGCTAAGTAGGTGAGGCAAGCACCATCCCACAGCACTTAATCCTTTATCTCTACTAAACATTAAAAAAAACCAGAGCATGGATATTTGCTTTTAAATTGGTATTGGTTACTAATGACTTTGTCTTCTGCGCTGGGTTTGAATCAAACCACCACCTGAGGAATTTGCAGTTTACTAACTGTCCCATTGCTTCATGAGAGCGTCCTGGGTACACAGTTCTCACTAGATTCAGAGCCAGGAACAGGACACACTTCCCTCATCCTTTTTCCTGGTTGTTTCTGCCCCACTACCCCTTCCAAACTGAATATATTTTCTCATGTTAAATATGTGGACTGCGGAGGACTCAGATTGAGTTCCCAGCATCCAAAGAGCAGCACAAACAACCAAAAAGTCCAGCTGCAGGATCTCTGGTGTGCTTGTTGGCCCTGGTGTGTACTGCAGCCACATGGACACACATAATTACAAATAAAAATATTAAATAAAAAATACTACTCCCATGTGCTGCCTGATGTCATTCACTGACATCACATGGTATAATTTACAGCCCAATCAAGGGTTTTTAATTGGAGTTTTAGGATTGGAGTCAGCTTGCAAAGTGTTTTAGGAGCATGTGGTGAATACATGTGTGCATGTGATCTCCCCATGTGTGTTTAGAATTAAGGCAATGTTTCCTATGCTCATTTTACATTATTTCCTACTTAATAGCAAACATCTATTCACAGGACTTGATTATAATTCTGAATTGTATCTCCAGTGTGTTTGTTTGAGGTACATAACCCAGTTATTTTGCATATCGGAAAGGGCTAAGAAAGCTCACGAAAAACACAGCTCTATACAAACTTTCATAAACATTCCCAGCCTGAAACCTGAGTTTTCACGTATGAACATGGCTGGGAGAACAGAGCTGAGTTTGGTAGGAAGAAAAGGTCATTTACAACAGAGGAGGGGAGGAGGTTGAGGGATGGATCCTTAAAGTTTTCTTTTGCGGATGTGGATCATTTTGTATTATCATAAAAAGGCAATCTTTGCACCCAGGCTGCCATGTGGCTAATGCTGTATGCAGAGTTCTGGCTTTACTTTTAGAAAGGATTTTTAAAAATTTTTTATATTAATTATAGTTTATTCACTCTGAATCCCAGCTGTAGCCCCCTCCCTTTTCCCCTCCCAATCCCACCCCCCTCCTTTTTCTCCCCCTATGCCCCTCCCCTAGTCCACTGATAGGGGATGTCCTCCTCCCCTATCATCTGACCCTAGCCTATCAGTAGAAGGGATATTTTACTGAAAATGTCTAAACTGAAAGATTCGGGGAAAGCCACACATTTGTGCCATATCTGAATGAGGGTCTGCAGGACATGTGGCTTTCTAAGTCTAAAGTGACCAGAGAGGAACTAAATACACAAACAACAACTAAATAAACAAATGACTGAAAAATGAATAGAAAGGCATTTTTAAAATGCATATACCACACCTTTTTTTTTTTTTTTTTGCCTGCAGGGAAACATTTTTCAGAAAGCCTTGAAAAATGAACATGTCACAGGCACATCAAAGTACCAACATGTCCAGTTTGCACAGCTTCTGACACACTGACAGCTATAATCAAATGGGTCAAATTCAAACTTACAAAGTTCAGTAGAGAAACAATCAAACAAACAAAAACTAAATCCACAGCACAAACACAAGACTCACAAATAAAGAAAAAAAAAATCTACAACTCAACAGTTTTTGCATACTTCCCACTGGGCATGTTTCCAGTTGTCTAAATGAGGTCCTAACAGCATCAATCCCGTTATCCTTGCAGGAACTGTGGATACAAACACCACGTCCTTCTAGTTTCACAGCAAGAACAAAACAAAACAAATAACAAAAATGGTTCTGGTCCTCGGTGCTGCACGGAATTCTTCAAGCTCCTGCCAAAGGGCGGGGGGGGGGGCGGTGATGGGTCGTTAAGCGATTGGCAACACTTATTACCGACTTACCTGTCTGCCAACCATACATAGTAAGAAACCCTGCAGACTGGCTACCTCACCATCCTCGCTTGCACTGACTGTATTTTTCCTCAACTCCATGGTAAACTCAAGGCTTTCTCCTTGGCTATCTAACACTCTACCTTGAAACTCAGAAGAAACACCACCACAACCACCACAAAAAAAAAAAAAACCTCACAAAAGTTTCACCTTGCAGATGTGGGTTCTTGTTCTCAGAAATTTTTGAATGTTTCTAGTTCTTTGTCGGATACCGAAGGGGCTTTGTCCCACTCACTCTCTGGGTAAGTCTCAAAGTTGGAGGTGTCGCCATCACCTGATAACTTAGGCACAATGGGTGGCTGAGGGTCACACAAAATAAATAATAAATAAGTAAGTAAATAAGTGAAACACAATTAGAAAAAACTGTGAAGAGGTTGGACACTTTTGTTGATTAACAATAATGTTTTCGTGGCTCACAGGGCATGAAGTGACACTAGGCAGCCGAGTGGGGACATGTAGTGACCGTCACTTGGAATGTAAATTTTATGAGGGGCTGAAGGCAGTCAGTCACATGGTATATATAAACACAGATGTACATAAAGCACTAAATAAATGAAAATAAATCTCTAGTAAATTAATGTGTAAGAATGAGACAAAGAAGTGGGAGCTTCCTAGGCAGTTAGGACCAGATATGAAGCTGTTCATTTAGTTCAAGGGTATATAATATTCCCACCTTCAGTTTCCTCTGTGGCACTGACTCCCAGTCTACACCCCGGAACCACCGATGCCGCTTGATGTCTTCTGCTCCATTCTTGAGAGGAAACAGAGACACTTAGTAAAAAAGCATTTGAAAAAATATGGTACTGTGTGTGTATGTACCATGTGTAAAATCTTTCTCCAACAGAACAGTTTAAAAATATAAATAAGTGGACAGGTGTGTTAGTGCATGCCTTTAATTATACAACTCTGGAGACAGAGGGAATTGGATGTCTCTAAGTTTGAGGCCTGCCTAGTTTACATAGATATTTCCAGGATAGCCAGAGCTATATAATGAGACCCAGTCTCAAAAATAAATAAATAAATAAATAAATTAATAAATGAATGAATGAATGAATGAATGAATGAATGAATGAATAAGAGCAAAGAAATAAAAACGCTAAAAGCTATCCTCAGCTACACAGTAACTTTTATTCCAGTCTGAGCTATTTGAAAACAGCACAACAGGCCATGGTAGTGCATGGCTGTAATCCCAGCACTCTGGGAGGCAGAGGTAGGCAGTCTGGTCTACAAAGTGAGTCCAGGACAGCCAAAGCTACACAGAGAAACTTTGTCTCAAAGTAAAAAAACAAAAAAACAAAACAAAAAAAAACAAAAAACAAAAAAAAAAAAAACCAAAAAAACAAAAAAAAGAAAGAAAGAAAAGAAAACAGCAAAATAAGGGTCAGAGAGATGGGTACTCTTTCAGAGGATCTGGGTTTGGTTCACAGCACCCATATGGTAGTAGACAACCTCATGTAACTTCATGGATCCAGGTGCCCTCTGGTTACCAAGACAGATAATGTACCGACATAGTATATACACAGAATTAATATAAATAAACCAAAAAAATAAACCAACATTGAGCATGGTCCAGGATCCTCTGAGTAGATGACATCATCATCAGTGTGCAAATTGGAACACTCTAGCATGACTCACCTTCATGTTGCCTAGGCGCCGTGTCCTGTCCACCACAAGCAGCTTCTTAATGAGGTCCCTGCATAAGCAGAGCAGATTCCACTTGGATCCGGAAAATACCAGACCAATGTTGAGTGCAAACCCCCTTTTACCCCTCTTACAGTGTCCAATGTGGGAAAAGGATTTATCTGGATCTGTGGGGAGTAGGACAGGTAGGCAGCTTGCACCCTGGGCTCTAACTCCTAACAATGACCTTCAACCCTTGACCTCTGACCTCTGCCTCCTACATGCCAGGGCTGCAGACTAGCATTCCATTTATACCGTGAGGGATGGGGCCCAGGTCTTAGGGCATGCTAGTGCCAGCTGGGCCACCAGCACGCTACCCACTGAGCTAATCACTCTGCTGACTGAGTTACAAGCACTCTAAGCACCAAGTTACAAAATCTCTATCAACTTAGGTATAAGTACTCTTCCCATAGAGCTACAAGCACTCTGCCCACTACGCTATAAGCACTCTATACATCAAGTTACAGAAGCTCTACCAGTAGAGGTATAAAGCACTCCAGCTACTGAGTTGCAAGCACTCCACCCCACTGAGCTACAAACCCTCCATCCAGTGAATTTCGACTGTAACCCTTTAGCATTTATCTATCCTAGTATCGTTCCCTCCTGTAAAAATCATGAGGCTGCTTTGCAGGGTGCACCTGTGTTCATTTATACAGTTCTGTATGGGAAAACTAAGTTTACAGGCTGCACACACTTGCTGAATGAGATCCCAAACGTCTGCTACTCTCCTGTGTTTTATCATGGATAAAACAAAGAATGCAAAGGATGGTGAGATGTAGTAAATCAAAAACTTGGAGAAGTTAAGGCAGGATAGAGATGGAATTCTGTAGGGGTGTGTGTGTGTGTGTGTGTGTGTGTGTGTGTGTGTGTGTGTGTGTGTCTGTTTGCACTCAAATACCCTGCAATCCATAGCACCTATAATAACACTCAGCAGGGACAATAGCTCAGTGAATGGGTGATTGTAACTGAGTGGGCAGAGTGCTTGTTGCTCAGTTCCTTGAGTGCTTATACTCAGTGAGTATAGTGCTCACCCAGCCATGGTTTCCATTGGCTGCATCACATACCCTGGCTACTGGTGACACAGGTCTGTCACCCTGCCTTTGGGAGGCTGAGTGAAGAGGACAGAAGTTCTGGGTTATGTGAGATCCTGATTCCTAACTTACTAAATGAAAAAAAAAAAAAAAAAAAATTGGAAATTCAGCAGGCTCATTTGGGATAGAAAAGTTTCAAATCTGACTACATTCAAATCAAGGAAATATTAAAGGTATTTATATATTTTTAACCTTTTTTTTCTTTTTCACTAAGTTTGCCATAATCTTCATCAAATGCACGGTCAGCATAAATACTGAACAAATGTTTTTAAGCCATATGTTGACCTTTAAACATTTTGCATGCAAGAATTCTTCATAAGTGAAATTTCAGTAAAAAGAGAAAAAAGAAAAACATGAAAAAAAAAAAGAAGAAAAATGAACAGTTCTGGAGCCATAGAGGTTTATTCGCATGAGGTCTCCTAGTTCAATAAATAAACCAATGTTATCAAAATACACCATATGTCTATATAGAACTGTCTCAAAAATTTATAAAAATATTTCATTTATACATAGAAATGATCATGGAGAAGAACTTAGGGCCCTAGGGTCTCCTTCAAGTTCCTATTTCCAATATCTTAACTTAGCCCCTCTTCTTAATGGTTTCAAGAAAAGTTTAAAAACTTTAAATAAGTTAAAAAGACAATCTAGAACCCCTGCACAGATGTAGCCCATGGCAGCTCAGTCTCCAAGTAGGTTCCCTAGTAATGGGAACAGGACTGTCTCTGACATGAACTCAGTGGCTGGCTCTTTGTCACCTCCCCCTGAGGGGGAGGAGCCTTACCAAGCCACAGAGGAAGACAATGTAGCCATTCCTGATGAGACCTGATAGGCTAGGATCAGAGGGAAGGGGAAGTCCTCCCCTATCAATGGACTTGGAGAGGGGCATGGAAGGGGATGAGGGAGGGGGCTTCAGCTGGAATACAAAATGTATAAACTGTACTTAATAAAAAAAAATTAAAAAGTTAATGAATAGGCTGGGTATGGTGGATGCACACCTTTTATCTCAGCACTCAGGGGGCAGATCTCTATGAGTTCAAGGCTAGTCTGTCTACATAGCAAGTTCCAGGTCAGCTAGGGCTACAAAGTGAGACCCCATCTCAATAATTAACAACTATAAATGAAATAAGTGGATAGATGGATGGACAAAGTGATCGCTTACACAGTTGGTTCCAAACGTGCATTAATTTCAATACCATCTATCTCAAAAGTAATGAGATATGTAACAGGCCTTTTGAATAGTAAGTTTCAGTAAAATGAGAAAAACTGAAATGTTTTCTCTTCCTGGAAGAAAAAAAAGGACTGACATATTTGTAATGACTCAGAACCAGGAGTGTGTGCTTGTTTCACAACGCTTTGAAAACAGACATGAGGACTGGGCAGGAGACCACGAGACCACTTACTTAGAGGTGAAATCCAAGTGTCTGGGAAAATCTATTTTGCATGCAAGAATTTTCTGGTAAATCCCAAATGGGTTGTCATCGAAAAATGGGGGAAACCTGTCACAGAAAGAAGCATGAATTTTTAGTAAGGCATTAATACAGAATTGTGTCTATTTTGTGCCTATTATTATTATTTTTGCCTCATTAAGCAAAAATAGTAATTCATGTCAAATGAGTCACTGCTCTACAACTGGCAACCTGGCATCTGAAGACAGATAGGAAACAGTCTCAGAAGATAGTATAGCCATAGGAGGACAGGGAAGGGATAGAAAGTCCTGATGCTCCCCAAAGAACATTGGTTTAGGGCTTCCTCTCAGCAGGCGATAGAAATGACAGTTAAAAACCTTCAAGGTGCAGGCTTAGTGGAAGGAAGTTAGGTTACTGTAGATGGGCTCTTCAAAAAGACACTGGGACTGCAGGCTCTTCTTCACAATCACTTCAATGTGAAAAAATAATTTTCCATTGATTCTAAAGCATTTTCGTGTGTGTGTGTGTGTGTGTGTGTGTGTGTGTGTGTGTGTGTATACATATATATGTACATATATGTGTGTGTATCTTAAAATTATGCTATGTATTATAAACTATGTGTATATAAATAAATGTGTCTTTATATATTATAAATTTTAAGGAAAATACACCTCATGGATTATTCACACACACATACAAGATACGTGCAAATTTTCCAGAACGCATGACTGGGACATTACTTGCCTATAGGGCATCTGCCTAGAGAATGAGTGACAGATATTGACATGAGCTCACCCTGCATGAGGATAGCCCTAAATGCAACGACAGTGACCTCATGAGAGACAAAAAAAGGAGATGCCGACCCAAAGGAGAAAGCCATGTGGTTATGGGAGTAATGGCACCAAGCACACCTGGCACCTCCAGTAGCTGGAAGACTGGATAGATGGATGGATGGGTGATGGATTAATGGGTAGAAAGGCGAATGGATGAGTAAATGGATGGGTGTATGTGTGGGTGGTTAGATGGATATATGGATGGATGAATGAATAGGTGGATGGATGGATGGATAGAAGAATTGATAGATAGGTGAATGGGTGAATACATGGATGGGTGACTGAACAGATGGATGGATTGGTGGGTTGGTAGGGAGATGCTCCCTCTTGACAGATCTTACACTATTTTAGTAAAATCCTCCTTCAAGCTTTTTTTTTTTTCCTACTTAGTTTGATCCATTAAAGATGAACTTTCTTTTATCTAGCCACCAGAGAAAAGCCCGTGTGGTTGGGAAAAGTGTCACCTCCCCAGAGGAGCAAGTGACTCTCTAGGTCTACACAGGTGAACATTGCCATGGTACTGATATCCAATTCCCACAGCTACATCTAGGTCTGCAAGCATATTGCTTTCAATGTTTACACAATTTTCTCAGATGTATACTAGACTCAGTAACCCTCAGGAACAACCAACCTTCCTGTCAACTCGGAGACAAAGACAGAGCCCTTCACTCCATTTTGTGCATTCCCTTGCCAAGAAAGGAAATTTAGGGTGGAAAAACATAACACAATCTTGCCTTCCTCAGATGCTCAACCATAACTACTTACTAAGTTGTTTCTGGTTAGTGTCATTTGTTTACCTTGGGTACTGCTCAGCATCAGTGTGTCATCCCATGAATAAGATGGATGTTACACATAAGGAACTACGGATGTCAATAAAAGTGTAAAGTCTTGTTTGAGCAAACTAAATACCCAGTCACCCTCTAAATCCTGACAGTAGGGTATGTGAGTGTATCCACATGCCAACTGTTTGCAGACTAAGGAGAAAGGAGATGCCAAGGTACTGTATGTAATGTGAAGAAGAGACCATGTGCATGCAACTGCATCTGTTGGGAGGATCACTCACCCAGACAGCATCTCGAATATAAGGATGCCCAGTGCCCACCAGTCCACGGCTCTCCCATGACCTTTGCTCTGAATGACTTCTGGAGCGAGGTATTCTGGGGTCCCACAGAGGGTCCATGTCCTGTGGGGGTGAAAGAAGCATCAATCTGTGAAACTTGAAAGGTGCTATAACATACAGTGATGAAGACCACATTGCAAGTATGTCCTCTGTAAAAAAATATTAACCTCTAGCCATATAGGTTGAACATTTATAATGAGAGAAGCCAAAAATACTCCTAAATCTAAAACTTTCTGAGTATCAACTGATATGACAAGTACAATATTTCATAACATGAAAGTATTTGAGGCACAAGTCATATTTACTGTGGGAGGACCCATTCCCTAGACACGGGGAAATTGTGCTGTGAGCTTTAACTGTCAACTGACTCAACCCAGAATTCCTTAGGAAGGGTCTCAGTGAAAAATTTACCACAGCAGACTGGCCTCTGGGCCTAAGTACATGAACCTGTTCCATAAAACTAAAGAAACACAAGCTTGGAGTGTTTAATATGACTCGGCTGGTATAGTGTCACACAAGCCTAAGATCAACCCACAGAAAAAGTAGAAGGAGCCAGACAGTTGTGGTGCATGCCTTTAATGCCAGCACCCAGAAGGCAAGAGGCAGAGGCAAGTGGATCTCTGAATTGGAGGCCAGAGTAGTCTACAGAGTGAGTTTCAGGACACCTAGAACTACACAGAGAAACCCTGTCTGGGGTTGGGGGGAGAAATGTATCAAGACAGATAACTGTCCAAACACTCTATAGACACAACAATACTACTCCTGATTCTAGGCTCTTTGCTTTGGTTTTAGCCCTGGCTAGCCTCAAACTTGCCCACCTCTTACATCACAAGTATGGACCACCATACCCAGCTGTTCCATCTATGTTGATAACATAAACTGACCCTGTAATTACATGCTCTTTGCTGACTTACAAGCATTAACTTACATATAATTTAGTTAACGGACGCATGGTAATTTTTTTTGGGGGGGCCTCTGCTAGTACTCCACATGCACCCACATACAGATACACTTAATTTAAAATAAAAATATTTAAAAAGTAAGCAAAACTAAAAATAGTAGAAAGAATACTAGGGAAGGAGAGAGTGAGAGGTGGATAAATCAATATGCAGTATTAATCATTTTTAACATTAGTGACAGGGTTAGGAATGTGTCTCAGTTGGTAGAGCACATGCCTGGTGTTCATTAGGCTCTGGGTTCACTTTGCACCATGGCATGGAGGTGGAGGAAGTAGGATCAGGACCTCAGTTTTTGTGTATTTAGAGACAGTGTCTCAACTCAGTGATGCCCCTGCCTCTGCTTCCCATGTGCTAAGATCATGAAGCCAGTGTCAAAAATCAAAACAAACCAAAAATCAAAACAAACCAAGACCTAAAGGGGACAGACGCTCCACATGGAGAGCAACAGAACCAAAATATCTGGGCCCAGGGTATTTTCTGAGACTGATACTCCAACCAAGGACCATGCATGGAGATAACCTAGAACCCCTGCACAGATGTAGCCCATGGTAGTTCAGTATCTAAGTTGGGGAACAGTATCTAAGTAAGAGGAAAAAGGACTGTCTCTGACATGAACTCAGTTGCTGGCCTTTGATCACCACTCCCTGAGAGGGGAGTAGCCTTGCTAGGCCACAGAGGAAGATAATGAAGCCAGTCCTGATGAGACCTGATAGGCTAGGGTCAGAGGGAAGGGGAGGAGAACCTCCCCTATCAATGGACTTGGAGAGGGGCATGGGAGGGGATGAGGTAGGGAGAGTGGGATTGGGACGGGGTGAGGGAGGGGCTACCACTGGGATACAAAGTGTATAAACTATAATTCATATAAAAAATTAAAATTAAAAAGAATAATAAAAAGTTAGAACTGGGGGCCGGGGTTGGTGGGGGGGGGGGGTGAGCGGTATCAGATGGGTTTGGCTTTTGGTGCCACCTAGAGTCAAGAAAGTTGCATGACAGTGAAAAAGTTCCAAAAATCTGGGATTTTTTGCTTATTTATTTTTAAAATTCTCCCTATCCCTCCCTTCTGGGATGAGGACTCCATCCTGCCCTTCCACCAGCTCCTGTGGTGCTAAGAATAGAACCCAGGCCCTCATGTATGCTAGTTAACTGGTATACCTTGAAGCTCTATCCTCAGCTAAGTGATCTACTATGAATCTACAGCCTCAGACTTTTTATTGTGTCCTCATAGGAGAAAAAAAAATTAAAACCCCATTTGAAAGAACAAAGAACTCTCCTTCCTTCCTTCCTTCCTTCCTTCCTTCCTTCCTTCCTTCCTTCCTTCCTTCCTTC